GGGGGGGGGGCTGGGGGGGGGGTCCTTTATAAAAATCAGCAGCAAAATCCTTCGGGTAGTGACTCTGCCTATGGGCGCCAATGGAGCGCAGTGCCCTTCGGGGGGAATCGCCTTCTCCCAAACACATTAGCCAGTCTCAGAAGGGATCCCAACTCCAAGCTGTGCTAGATCTTCCTCCGCCTCCCCCCCAACGCTCCCTTCTCACCCACCTGCCACACACTCAGCTGTGCTCCCAGGCGCTGCACAGCACAAACCAGGGTTAGCGTCCAGCATGCACACTGGAGGAGAAGGGGGGAGATCCAGGAGCCAGTTCTAGGCTGTTCTTGGCATCCTTAACAGGCTTGCATCAGCCACCCCCAGGACCGCCTCTCTCTACTCCCCTCCTCACAGCCTGACTTCAGTTAAAGCAAGAGAGTCGGCTCCTCTGCAGTTCCTGCTGCCAATGGAAACAGCTTCCTCACACCCATCCCAGACACTCCGTTTCTCAGCCTAGAACATCTCCCTAAGTGCACGAGGGACTCCTGCCACTGCATCACAAGACACTAGGTCCGGCGGGTGGGAGCAGGCCTCGCATGAAAGACACGGGACTACATAAAGGCTCAGTCTCATGCCCGGAACGTTGCAAACCCCAAGAGTCCAGGACCGCCGACACACGTGCAAACCTACCCCACAGGCAAAGTCTCTCCTCATCGGGGGAGCCGTTCATGAAGGGACACAAGTTACTTTACGTGCCAGCTAATCAAGCTGTGGCCAAGCTGCGCACTGCAAGGCGAGGGGAAGCAGCGTGAAGCACCCGCCTACGCGGACCCACCTGGATGGTAGCTGGGGTGGAGAAGGCCATGGTCCGCGGCACGCTGGGCGGTGCTGTAATGCGCAGGTTCTTGTGCCTCTTTAATCGGTCACAGAGCAGGCTATAGATTGCACTGTAGTGATCATAGGCGTCTGTCCTCAGTGACTAGCAAGGGAAGGATGGAGAGAGAGTTTTTTTCCCCTCTCATAATGAAAATAAATTCCCTTCCCCCCCACCCCTGAACTCTCTGCAGAAGAAAGTATTAACTGGCAAGTGTGATCAGCTGCTAACGTGACATTCACCAGCTGCAGGCAGCAGCCCAAGCTGGCCTGAGTTACCTGTAGTGTGCGCTCTTTGTCCAACCCCATCTCCACCATGGCTAGGAGCACATCTTCATTCAGTGGCTCCATCTGCCTTTCAATCTTGAGGTGCTGACATTCTGCTATTAACTGCAAGGGCACAGAGAGACCCTCAGTGCTCAGGTGGGACACAGCGCACACCCCAGTGCTGCCAGCCTGCGGCAGGAGGGCCCGCGTGCTGTGCTGCAGGGCCGCCCTGCACACTATCTGAACGCAGAGGGCAAAACAGGGGCAGAAACGGCATCTCAGTGGCGCACGATCCTGGGAGCCAGCAACGTCCCACAAGCAGCCTGACAGGAGCCCCCGCAGGGCATCAGCAGGGCAATCAAAGGAGCCCAGAGCTACCGAGACTAAGAGAATAATGCAAGAGGATGAGCAATCTCAAGTCCGAGAGAGGAGGGGCGACAGTGAGTAAGCTGCACGGCCCAACAGGGAGGAGAATACCAACACGCTAGCATTTGGGAATTGGGAACACTGGACGCAGGGTGCTCATTTGGGTCTGAGCAGCTCTAGTGGTTCCCAACGGGGAACTCAGGGGCAGTATTCAGCCCTCCTCCCTAAACCCCGCATGCGGCACTCCCCGCACCCATTCAGCAGGGAGCCGCGCCAGAGCGTTTCTGCCTGCGCACCCTGTCAAACTCGGCATCCGCTTCCCCGAGCTTCATCCATTTGTGTTTGCAAATCTGTTCCATCGAGAGTCGCTTGCTCGGGTCCAGCACCAGCATGTGGCGGATCAAGTGCTCACATTCTACAAGAGAGCAACAAGAGAACGAGTCATTCAGTAGCACAGGTCAACACCCCCCGAGGGACGCGGCTTCGCATCAGGGCTGGAACAAGGGCATTGTTTTGAGGCAACAGACAAGAACAATGTTCTGGGGATGGGGTCTGTGGCAAACAGCGAATATACATGCGCCCTGCGTTGGGCCTGACTGAGTCTTGCACACAAGCATGGGGTTAAATCCCTGACATCTGACACACGAGCATAGGAGCTACCACGGATAGGCACAAGCTCTGCCCAAAGCCTAATTAAATCAAGGTCTCCAGCTCAGCATAATTCAAAGGACCTGCACCAGAGGGCACCACCAGCTGCCTCTCCCCCAGCACTGGCTGCCCTCCCAAATAAGGCTCGGAGAGACTTCAGGATTGTGCAACACCCCGTCTTTATTCACCCGCACTTGTCCCACCACCAGCGCCAAACTATCTACAGTCGCTATGGGCTTCTCTCCTCAGACAGACAGTCAGTCTTCAGCTAGGAGGCTTCCAGCTCCCGCCCTGACTGATTGACCTCTCCTCTCCTCACTGCCTGGCCCCTCCTTCTGGCTCCCTCCCAGCCTCCACAGCCCATGG